ATTAGTTATTTCTTAAAATGGAATCCCACTGTAGTTAAAGATTATGTCGATAGGAGAATTACCTCCTGCAGTGCAGAAAGCGATACCGGTTTCTGTTCACTTTGGGCCAGCAACAGTAATATCGGCCCTGGGCTGACAGGAATTCCTGTCGCCCACTCATCCTGTTATTTGGTCATTCGTATCCTGCATTAATTCCTTTTCCCCAAGATGGCCTTGCCTTTCCAGTAAATGTCAGCGATGACTTAGGTTACTTTCGGGTACAATTTCTTTTAGCTCAAAGATATTAAGTTCTCCTGAGAAAGTTCAATTTAGGATTAGTGCAAAATATTACTTTATGTACCTTGGTTAGTCACTTAACTTCATACAATTTAGTTAGTACTTTTATTTTTTTTTTACCTGCATGAATCATGGGGTTAAGTTTAATTATCTGTATTTGTGTTTTTAAAGTAATGGAGAATTTCTCAACTCTGTGTGTGTGTATCAATGTCAGCATATCTGGCCGTAATTTGTACATCTCTAATTTTAGAGACCCATTTCATTTTTATAGCTTCTAGGTGTTCCGTCCACAGATGCTGATTACCTAACCATGCGCTTGCTTTACCCTAAGCCTTATAACGCCCCCTCTCAGTCTGTTAATTCCCGGGTCCTGTGGTCCTGCTTTAGTTTTATCTGCTGCTGAACTCACTGAGGAAATATGCTGTCATAATGTGACAGTGCTCTCACTTGATTTAAAAGTAACTTCTAAAGATGAGAGACTGCTCAGAGTAGAGGAAATGCTGTGAGTTTGCTGCTGTTTATACAAATGGGGAGAGAGGGCCCTGCTATTTCTCCTCCTGCAAACCAGCTTGCTCCTTTTGACATGGCTGCAGATTTTTGTGGGCTCTTAATACTTGGTGAAATTCTGACAATACACTTTTTATTCATCTTATTGGAAGAAGACGCTTCATAGTCCTACAAAGTATAATGTCGTGTGTTTGGTCAGTAGGCTAGATAAGCACCAGGTTACAATGGTTAAAATTGATCCCAAGTATCTCTAGCACTCTGGCTTTATGCTCTGTGACTTGTTGCAAACTGGATGTTACACCACTTGCTCAGCCTACAGGATGTACCTCAGTGATGAGGGATGTTCTGCATTAACACATTCTACACTTGGTAAGAATGTGTTAGTTTGACAAGAGCTAAGCATTTGAATTACCTTGTGATCTTTGTAATCTGCAACCAATTTCGGGTCTAAGAGGAAACACTTCACGTTAACTACTTGGTCTGGGAGGGTTTGGAAAGGATGAAGACAGTGACTGCCTAGTGCTGAGCTGTGCTGCTTAGTTATCAGGGTAACTTTAGAATTAAGTCTACAAAACCGCTGTTAGATTTGTGCTTCAGTTGAACTGTTGTCTCTGCAGTGGTCTCAGCCCAAGACAGATCAGGTTATCTTTGAGTGCTTCTAAAAGCCCATGCCAGATTGGAAAGTGTTGGGTAAACTAATATTTTTCTAATGGTGCTGTGCTGAAAATAATTTTTGAAGAAACACTGTTTTGCCTTCCAGAGATAATGGTGACATCAAATTTCTGACGAAAGGAGATAATAATGAAGTTGACGATAGAGGCTTGTACAAAGAAGGCCAGAACTGGCTTGAAAAGAAGGATGTAGTGGGAAGAGCCAGAGGGTGAGAATCGACTTTTTTTTTTTAAAGATTTTATTTTATTTGTGCATACAGAACTGGGATACAGGCCAGAGATGTGGAGGGTGAGAGAATTCACCAGAGACAGAGTGGAGTGCAGAACAGGCAGATCAACGAAATACGCTGCTGAGGGGAGCAGCGGGCGGGTCAGGAGAGGTCTGCCACGCCATGTGGTCACCTCCCGGGCAGGCGGGAATCGAACTCATGAGGAAGCGGCCTTAGATTCTCAGTGCTGTGCTTTAACCCGCTGTGCCGCCAGGGAGGGCCCGAGAATCGACTTTTAAGTTCTTAGGAAGATTCATAAACCTGAAAGATATTTAGAAACAAACAAGCCAGAGAATAACGGATTCATCCATTATAAATATTATGTCAGTGGAACAGTTAAATAGTTTTAGTTTGTATTATGATGCCTGGATGAAACACTCAACATACTGAAGACTGTTACTGACTATAATGTGTTATCTGTATCATGGCCACTGTTTATCTGTAGCATAGGTTTAATTCTCATTTTGAAATTCTCACTTAGAAATGAGTTATCTGTGGATTTTACATAGCAGTTACAGGAAATCCTTCCAGAAGGAACTACTCTCTAATACTTGGTGAATATTCTAGCTATCTCCTGTTCCAATGTAGATGATATGTAATTATATAATCTATGTATCAGAGATAATAGATCATTTTGCCTAAGAAAATTTGACTTTTGATGCAGCACATCTCTCCTGTCTTGTCTGCTCTTTCTCTGATACGTATATTGAATAACTATGCCTGTTATAATCTCAAAAAAAAGGGAAAAATTTATTTTTTTCCCCCGACAGGAAGTTGGAATGAGATTTCTATGTCAAATAAATTTCTTTCTAAATGGTTATACGCTGTTCCCCTGAGAGTCATACTTTATTTAACCAATCTTCTTTTGGTGAACATGTAAATTATTTCCTACCTTTTACTACTGAGAACAGTTCTTTTCATATCCATCTTTGCATCATTGTTCCAGCAATGAGTCTGTTCTGATTGACACCACAAAGAGTGAATCCTCTCAAAAAAAAACAAAAAAGGCAGTCCTGCCCTTCACTTAGGATGGACTTCACCCTGTATAGCTCTGGTTAGAATGTCCACTCTGTCCCTCCCCCCCCCCCACCCGCCACCAGCAGCTGGGGAAGGCCCAGAGCACTGGCTGATTGGTGGTATTCTTAAGGAAGATGTATTTTGTAAGGCAAACTTGATAGTGTTTGTATATGTTGCTATCATATCACATATAATTTTTCTGTTTCTGCTTTTTATTCTACAATTCAGGTTTTTACCATACGTTGGCATGGTCACCATAATAATGAACGACTATCCAAAATTCAAGGTAGGAATTCATGGGTGTATTTGTAGCTATAAAAGAATATTAGAGCTTTTACATGTGCAGTTGTAACGATGTAGTCTGTTCAAATTTTTGCTAGTTAATTTTGCTGCTGAGTATAATTAACTACAAATTAACATAATCATTTAAATTGTCAACAGTGAAATGAATTATTTAAAATAGCTATGTTCATCTTTTTAGGTTCATAGTGTATTCTTCAGTGATGCTTATATTTGTAGCTTTTGTAGTGGAAATCTTTAAACATACAAAAATATAGTATAATAAATCCCATAATGCTTATCTGCCAACTTCAATAAAAAAGGTATCTGTTCATATTTTTAAATCACTTAAACAGTAGGACACCCCCACAGGAGTGAGTTGGGCACTAGCTGTGTTTGTAGGGCTTTTAATCTTTGGTCTATCCATATGTTTCTGGGTTTTTTACCTTAATTCAGCACTGCACATCTACTTTGGAGAACAGGGCATCTCTGGGGTCTGTCCTCTGTCCGGTATCAAGCAGAATGCATCTGAATATATTCATAGGCCAGACTTCTTGTAATTTTCCACTCTGTTTACTTTCCAGTATGCTCTTCTGGCTGTGATGGGGGCGTATGTGTTACTAAAACGTGAATCCTAAAACGAGAAGCAGCCCCTGCGACGAAATTGAAATGAATTCTGCTGGAAAAAGAGAAAAACTAATATATTTGAAATGTTCCACTTTCTGTATAAAAGGAAACAATGTGGAGACGTTTTTGTCTTGGCCAAATAAATGATTCATCAGTAAGCGCGGTTTTCTTTTGTGGATTCTGACTGGAATCTTCCTGCTCTTGCAGCCGTCCCCTGAAACAGCGCGTGAGGGCCTGTCCCCAGCCGGGCCAGCAGCCGCCCTGGGCCGGCCTGCCAGTGAGGGCGACACGCAGTCTGTGTGGCAGGGGGTGAAGTCTGGGTCTCAAAACTAAAGTGCTTTGTACATGATCGCTTTTCTGAGGGAAACCAACAGGTCCCAAAAGAGATGGCTTATTTATTAGTGTGGGTTGACAAGTCAGCAAAGCCTCAGACCTTTTAGAAGGTTGGGTGCCATCGCCTTGTTCCAGTGGTGTGATGTAGTTTGAGATGGTTGGGCAAGTGCTTTGAAAAATGTCCATACGTTGTAGGACCTGCAGGCGCCTTGGAATGTGGCGAGAAGTGCAGGAGAAAAGAGGTGCACTCACTTCCTCAGCCACCCTTTTATCCCCTGAGGAGTGCCGCCATCTTTAGTTACATGATGTTTGCCTCATACATAATCCTGCATCTAAATGCTCTTCATTAACATGTTTATCAGCCCCTGCCACCCCAGCCAGTGACTTAGGTGTTAGGAATACAGTTCCCTAGCTCAAAGGGAGGCAGCAGTGGGAGAAGGGATGGGTGGTGAACTGGGTGATACTTCAGGCGTGTGTGCCAGTGCCTGTGAGGAGAGGAAGGGAGTGATGGGGTATTAGGTGGCGGCAAGGCGAGATGGTGTGAGGAGGTGATATGAAGCATAGTTAAAAGAGCTGAGAGGAAGGGAGGCATGTGCACATCGGGAAGAACATTCCAGAAGGTGCAGGGCCCAGAAGGCAAAGCACTGGCTGTGGTGTTAAGTGCCAGTTCTGTCACTGGCCCTGGGGATGGATTGGGGGGGAGGTGGCCTTGAGATTCTGCACTGGCTGCTCCTTGCTCACCCCAGAGATGCCAATGCTGGGCCACACTAGAAGGAAGTCAGTGGGGACCCCAAACACACTTGGCTCACCAAGAGGTTCCCACTGAGCAGTAGGATGACACTGTCATACTGTCACTTAGAACTTACAAGTCTACCTCATGCCTTAAGGTCTGTCCAGTTCTGGTCTAAGAATTTTGAACCCCTAAAAGTCACTTAGCCCCCCCGTGGGCCCTAAGCAAGTCACTGTAACTTCCCCCAGCCTCCCAGGGGGAGGACTGCACTTACTTCCAGGTGTCCGAGAAGTTCCCTGAGGGCTCTGGCACGTGCTGGACGGGTCTGCAGACCCCGTGCAATGCTCATCAGCCCCGTGCTGGTCTCCTTTCTGGCGCAGACCTGTGCCTCGTCGCGCACCTGTACGGCCACATTTGGAGCGAGCTAGTTCCTGGTTCGGTAAAGACCAGCGGGAGTGGCCGATGGGGGGCAGCTTGCCCTTTCATCCTTTCTCGCTACTAAAATAGGCTATTGCAATAATAATGGACCTCATCCCACTGAAAGCAAAGCGAGAGGAAAACACGTAAGGATCCTTTCTAAGACCATTATTCTCCGGTGCCCTTTAATAAAGTATTTTCCTAAGAAAAATAGGTTTTTCTTCCCTTAACTAAAAATGGGATTTTAAAATGTCGCATCAAAACTTTATTATTTTACCATCTTCCGGGGGTTCTGTGGTTGGTTATGATTAATGGGAAAGCTCTTAAAACAGCTAGTTCTCTGGACATAGCTGACATTCTGAAGTAAATGTTATAAAGACACTTACGAACCCAAAGGTGGCTTGGCCGGGGCCACTGGCCTGTGGCAGTGCAGAAAGCGACACTCTTCGGTGCCGCTGGGTGCTTGTGACGCGGAAGTGGGGGTTTCCGCGTGTGCTTTTATCTGGGGTCTCGGTGCTGTCTGTGTCCAGGACTCATCCACGCGAGCCAGGCCTGGCGCCGAGCAGACAAAATCCGCATGGCAGCAGCAACTGCCTCTCCGGTGGGTGAGTCGCCAGCTGGGGCCGCCTCAGTTTCTTACGTGGCTGCACTGTTGTTTTTCCACTCCAGCAGCTTCGAAGCAGCGCAGTTTGCATAAGGCCAGACAACCACCCCAGCGAGAAGGCTGAGGGCAGAGGCGAAAACTCGGGCAAAGATATCTGGTGCTACTAGCTGTGTGGACAGCAGCCCCGGGGCGGTTCTCAAGGCCTAGAGGAGGCGCGGAGGACGCTCTACCGTGTTGAAGAGCAGGCGGGTTTCCACTGAAAACGGGGACATTTCCTCTGTGGAGGCTTCAGTGTTTTGCTTTCTCGGAGTAGAAGCTCAGATCTCCCCCCCCACAGCCTGTGACAGGCAGCAAGAGAGCTGGTTCTGGTAAGTGCTGGACAAACACGGCCTCGAGGAGGCGAGAGAGGGGAGGTGCATCCAGGCACACACACTCTGCACCCCTAGAGAGGAGATGCATCTATGCACCCGTACACACGCGCACACACACACTCTGCACCACAGGAACAGCTCTGAAACGGCTCCCCTGGAAGGCAGCTGCTGCCGACCCCGCCAGGCTGCTCAGATGGAGCCTTGTTGGGACGGGCAGGGACCTGGCCTTTCGAAGCAGGCGAGGTGTGAAGACTGGACCTTCGGGGACACTCTGCAGAAACTTCCCTGGGTGGTGCTTATGCCATCAGGGTGGAGAGCCATGGACACACCTGCATGGCCAGCCAGGAGCCAATGGGATGAGGGTGCTTGATTGTTCATCCCTTCCCTCTCACCTCGTGAAGTCGATTTCGATGGCATAACAGGCCCGTGTCTACATGCCACCCTGTGCCACCACGGCCCCCCCAAGCTGATGCTACAATCTCCAAACAGCCCCTCTGGCTCCTGCTCAAGCGCCGCCCCCCTCGTCTTGGGAAGCAGCGTGGGCCAGCACTCTGGCAGTCAGGCTACTCTCTTCCAGCAGTTTCTAGCTGAGATCCGGCCACCCCCACTCTCTGGGTTCAGTTGGCTCCCTCAGTTTCCAAGGACACGCAGGGGGGTAAGGTGGGGTGCAGTGTGAGGAGGGGTCTGGACTCACCTCACCGGCTAGATACATAGCTTGTAAGTAGCTCGGACTCAGGTCATCCCCAGAGTTAGTCATGGCGGGTCAAGAGACTCTAGACGCTATAGTCTTTGGCTATGAAATTCTACCTATGTTTTCTCTGAAAATTTAATCAAATTTCCAACTGTGTTGCAGACAGCATTGTGACAGGGACACCCCCTCCTCTATTCATGCTCCGTCCACGCCCCACCCTACAGGTTCTGCTTTTAGCTACATGAAACTTGGGGAAGATGCAGGAGAACAGAAGCCCCTGCACATGGCCCCCTGGCGTCTCCCAGGCTGTGCATGTGGGCACAGCTACTGCCTCCAGCAGCACACGGGGCAAATCTCTGTCCTGGGATTTTCTCTGGGCTTCCTCTTCCTTTCAGTCCTCACCCAAACCCCGCCCCCCATGCCTCGTGCAGGTTTACTGGTTCCTCATAGGTGTTTAGCTTTTACCATAACGTAGGACTTTAAGAAGACTAGATTTCATTTCTTAGGGTTGCTTTAGGTTCACAGCAAAGTTGAGGGGAAAGTCCAGCAAGCCCCCACATGCTCCCTGTCCCTATAAGATGCAGCCTCCCACATGGTGGGGCCCACACAGTGGCATGCCAGCTACACTGGGTGATCCTCTGTGGGCACGCCAGAATCACCCAACATCCAGGGTCCACCTCAGGTTCACTCTGGAATCTGGACAATGACAGGCAGTCACCATTTCAGTAGCAGATAGAATAGTTTCACTGCTCCAGACTGGCCCTCCGCCTCGCCTGTTCATCCCACCCTCTCTACTGACACCTGGCAACCATGTATTGTCTCCACAGTTTTCTCTTTCCCAGAATGTCCTACTAGAGTTGAAATCATAAACAGTATTTTTTCAAAATTGCTTTATCCTTTGCAAATGGGTTTCTTCATTTAGCAAGGGGCAGATAAGGCTCCTCCAAATCCTTTTCGTATCTTAATAGCTCCTTTACTTTTTAGCACTGGGTAATGCTCCATTGTCTGCATGTTCCACAGTTTTGTTTCTTCATTCACCTGTTGGAGGACACCTTGGTTGCTCTCAAGGGTTGGCAATTATGAATAAAGCTGCTAGCAACATGCGTGTGGGCTTTTGTGTGGATGGAAGGTTTTGGTTCATCTGAGTAAACACCAAGGAGAAAAACTGCTGAATGATATGGTAAGAGTATGTTCAGCTGCGTAACAACCTGTCACCCAAAGTGGCTGTACCACCCTGCACTCCCAGCAATAAGGCACGTTGCTCCACGTCTTCGCCAGCATTTTTTTGTCATGTTCCAGACTTTGGTCATTTTATTAGATGTGTCGTGGTGTCTCGTCGTCGTTTCATGTGTAATCCCCTGATGCCACGTGAGGCTAGCATCTTTTTTATGTTCATTTACCACATAAAGGTGCTCCCTGATGTGTCTAAAAAGATCTTCGCCTCATCTTAAAATCAAGTTGTTTTCTTCTGTTGCACTTTGAGTTCTATGGTTGTGTTACAGAACAGTGCTCTATCCATTGAATCTGTTGCAACTATTTTTTCCCAGTGTCTGACTTATAACACAGAGTAGGCATTTTCAGTTTAGTGAAGCCCGACTTCCATATGTATTTCTTTCATGGGCTAAGTCTTTGATATTATATCTAAAAGACACTGCCAGAGCCATTGAGATATTCCTCCAATGTTACCTTCAAGGAGTTTTACAGTTTGTATTTTACCTCTAGATACATGATTTTGAGTTAATTTTTATAGGGCAAGTAAGGTCTGAATCTAGATTCAATTTTTGTAAGTGGACAGCAATTGTTCCCAAACCATTATTTTTGAAAAGATTAGCACAAACCCACTGTGTCACCGTTGCTCCCTGGTCCAAGATCGGTGGACTGTACTTCTGTGGGGCTGCCTCCGGGTTCTCTGTTCTGGCCTATCGATCTGTCTATTCTTTCCCCAATACCACGCCTTGGTTATGTAGCTTCAGAGTAAGCCTAGACAGTGGGTAGGGTCAGTCCTTCAACTGTGTTCTCCTCCTTTAATATAAATTGTTTGTTCTGGATCCTTCTTAACTTTCATTCTGTTCATATGCATGATGCAGGATTTTCACAAGGTATTTATATTTGAAAAAAAAAAAAACAACATGCAAACTTCCATTGCCAGACTCATTTGTGAGTTTCATTCCTCAAGCCTATTTCTGAAGAACTCCTGCCTCTTGTTAGGTCTCTAGCTGATCTTCACCTGTCTTCCTTGATGTGTGCACTGGTGTGAAACACTCGCATCCCTCCGACCCTTGAGAATCTCTGGGAGCTGCTGTTTGTCTGTTTCGTGGTGACACGCCTCATTTCCTCCACAGCATCCGGATTATCTGTATGGCTCAGATACACCCCTCCTCCCTCTGCATTATCAATTTCAAGACTCTTGATTAGATCAGGGGATTTGATGGTGGATTGATTGACTGACTTCTCACTAAGCAAAAATGGAGCCTAACAGAATCAGGCTGCCATCTGGAGCCCTATCTGAGTGGCAGGAGGGTGCTGTGGCGAGGGCATCTGGGGTCCCAGTGGGGCTGTTGTGCTGGGCCACGCAGCAGTGGAGACACTGCTCCACGCTGGATAAAAGACTTGAAGAGAGCCCAGTGATTCACACAAACTGTGCGTAAAGTGGGATATTTTCACCTCCACCAGTGCAAAGCTGAGCCTTCCCAGTCTGTAAAACTTGAGGAAAGTTTTGTTCTGGGTTCAGCTTCCATTTAAGGGGATGTTATGACTGGTTTGATGTTTTATCCAGACCATTCCATATGTCTGCATGTAGCAATAAGGGTGTATCCCCTGGCACCGTATGCTCACTAGAGCAGCACGTAACTTCCCTTGGAAACTTCTGGGTGCTTTGCTCTCCTTTGCAGTCACGCCCGGGCTGATGGTGCGAGAGGTGTAGCTTCTGCGTCATGAGGCCGACAATGCGCCTTCCTCGTTGAGCGTAATCACTAGCCTTTGAGTTGTAATGAGAGATGTGGGACTCTTATTCACTCGAACACTTAGGGCTTACTATAGGGCTATTAACTGGCTGAACTTCAATTTATTGTGTGCCAGAGAACAAGGAGGCCCAGGGAGAGAGAGACGGGGAAGGCCGTGGGCAGGGCAGTCAGAACACGCAACACATTATTAAGTTCCCTGTCTTGTGTGGACGAGCTTCAGTCTCCCCAACAATTACAATAGTAACGTCAAAGATCACTAATCACAGACACGTAATAGATATAGTAATACCGAAAAAGCGAAATATTGCAAGCAACACCAACATGTGAACAAAGACATGAAATGAGGCTGGCAGATGCTGGCCACGGGCGCATCAAACCTTCACTATGTAAAACATCCAGTATCGGAAAAGTGCAATAAGGTGAGGTTCAATAAAGCGAAGTCCGCCTGGAAGGCTTTCCCATATACTGGCTCGGGCAGCTGAAGCGAGCCA